TCTTCAGGGTGGGTGAGGGGGGAGAGGAGCAGGGCCAATCGCCTAGACTCTTGGAAACACACCTGTGTTTAAATGAGGCGCAGGACTAATCGCCCAGGCTCTCGGAAACACACCTGTGGGTCTGGGCTGTATTCCGAGGGCAGGGGAAAGGTTTGCATTTTATGAGATCACTCTGCCACCGCGTGGGGATGGTTAGGACCGGCTGAGGCTGGAGCTGGGGACGCTGCTGCACCTCTGCTCTGTACCTCTGCCACCCTGACAATGAGACCCCCAAATCGTGTGAGTGCCTCAAGGACCCTCCACCCATGGGCAGGTCTGAAGTCAGCCTGGGTGCTCCCCCTCTGTTATGAAACTTGAAAGTGGTTGTGCTTTAGCTGTGCCAAGCAGATCCATGAGGCTGTGCTGAGGGTGTCACTGGGAACCTGCCCGTGCCACCGGAGGGGCTGTTTGATACCAGGAATCCTACGTTGTCCAGGATACTGCAGCAGAAGCTCTGCAGAACCCCTCTTCACCTCAGAGAGGGTCTTTGTCCAAAACCCCCATTGTCCGTAAGTTCAAGCTGAGATCCAGGGTGGGACGCGACTGGTGACTATTCCTCTGGGTTCGAGGTGCTGACGGTCCCTCTGTGGATGCTCCAGCATCTCCCCTAGGCCCTCGGGGCTGCTCTCAGCCTGCGCTGAGTGGCAGGGCTGCGGGGAGTGTCGGCTTTGGCAGGTGTCTCGGTCCCAGTGCCAGCTCTGTGGTTCCTGCTTATGCAGTCAGAATCCTGAAATTCGAAAATAGATCATAAATAGACATGTGGATGACCTAAATCCGAGTGGAGTGGGGCACCCTGGGGGAAGACGGAGCTTATTTATTTATTTATATCCTGCCTCATCCCAGAAAAGGATTAGTGGCAGCTTATAGAAATATGTAATGTACAACTGGAGGGGTTTTTTTTTTTTTCCCTAATCAAGAAATGGGGGAAATCAGAGCACAGAGAAAATGAGGGCAGGGATGCGAGATGAAGATGGTGGAAAGATTAGTCCACAGTATGCAGGCACCCATTCTGCCTCCCACTGGCTGGGCTCTCCAGCCCAGTTGTGTTTCCCGGGTGAGGCCTGACTTGGGCTGGAGGCTCTAAATCACCCCAGCCTCTCCCAGCTGGTGCGCTTGGGTGCTAAGAACTTGATCACTTATTAGAGGTCAGCTCCAGATGCCCCTCATGTGCCTGGGGGCCTCCTAGTAGCTACAGGGAAGAAAGAAACAGTCCTGATCAAAGTGCCAGGCTGTCCTAAGGTCAAAGTAAATCAGGTACGCCAAGAGAAGATGCACCTTCCCAGATCCTCAGGACTGGAGAAATCTTCAGTTGATGATGTATGCTTGGAAACAATTAGTGTTTGCCTTTTATCAGAGAATAAATTCATGTGACCAGCCAACAAATCCTCATTGACCATCCTCTGGGCTGGAGAGGACAACAGGTCGCCAGGCCATGGCAAGAACACACGTAAAAAGGATTAAAGGTCACGGTAAATGCTAGAAAGGAAACAGGGTGGGTTCTGACGGTGATGGGGTGGCGCTGTCAGCTGGGATGTGTTTGCAGAGTTCTTTCTGAGGACGCCACAGACAAATTGAAACCTAAAGGATGAGAGGGAGAAAGCCACATCTAGAGCCAGGGAACCGTGTTGCAGGCAGAGGAAAGGAGAGGGCAGAGACACCAGGTGAGACAAACCTTGGGGAGGTCCGGGCATTGGTGGAGGTCAGTGTGGCTGCCATTGTGTGTCTTCACGGTTCCTCTCTCTGCCTGGGGCTCCCGGGGCCTCTGCCCGAGAGCCTATCTCAGAGACTAGTCCCGATGAGAGGCTGGGCCTTCTTGGAGGCACAATTGGCTCAAGAGGATTCAGCACTTCTGCCTCTTGAAGCCGAAGAGCTCATCAGTCCTGGGCCTGCCCTGGCTGGTCAGGGCAGCTGTGCTTCAGCAGGAGACTTCATCCTCTCTGTTCAGGACTGGCCCCACCTGATGAAAAAGCCTGGGAGCCTGCATACCTGAGGGTTTGGAATAGTAGGCTTCATGCTTTGGAGATTTGGGGATAAGGATTAGAACAGGAAACTGGGCATCCTCTCAGAGGAGCCCTCATCCTCCAGGGACCAGGTGGTTCCTCCAAGAAGTATCCATGGCTAGAGTTTTGACCTCCCGATTCCCTGAGCATTGCATGATAAAGAACTGTCTGTGGGGACCCTCTAGTCATTCCTCGGGCTTACCTGTTGCTGGGAAATACCTTGTCCTCAGGAGAGAGGCCAGGGGTCCATACTTAGCAGTCTATTTAGGACATGGAGGAAAATGACCTTGCCTGGCTCCCCCTACCAGTGAGACCTGATCATGGGCATTAAATGGTACAAAAGGACCCAGATTAGAGGTCTCTTACTTCCATCTTATCAGATTTTGACTTTGAGGGAGAGCAACAGGGACATTGGGAGGATCTGGAGGGCCAATTGAGAGGCTGTCTGGGGTAGGACCTATCCCATGGGAGGCAGGGTCCCAAGATTTCCTCTGAGTGGTTATCCAGCTGAGGGTCTATATTCTGCAGATGCTCCTGGGGCAAGATTGGTTGGATGTGTTGGAAGTGCTAGCCTTCACATGTGTGACAGTGGGAATAGGGCTGGGAGCCTGATTGTTGGGGTGATGTGGCAGCATAGCCAATGCTCTTGGTTCGTGAACACATCTGTACTTCAGTTCTCAATCAAGAGGGCAGGGGCCAACAGGCAAACCTTTGGAGCTGAAAGCAAAAACTGGCCTGGTAGCAACTTGCAGATTTTCAGGAAAGCAGTTAAGTTGGATTCAGTATTTGTTGGTGAATGTAAGGAGCAGAGATAATAATCTAGCAACACGAGATAAGCGGTACAAGCCCCACATCAAGCTCTGGGGTTTCTGCCCTTGCAGGCATGGCTGCCAGGTCAGAGGAGGCCATATGGAACCACAGATCAGCTGGTTTACTTACTTTGACTAAGACTGTATCTCCAGGGAGTAGGATCAGCCTGCCATAGCTAAGAGTTTCCAGTGTTTTCAGATTCTGTTCAGCTATGTTATTTCCAAGCATCTCCCCAGAGAGAATGGGGACCATCTTTGCAGTCTGCCACACCCTCCTTCCTTTCTGGCTTGATGGGCCCACGTCAGTGTCCTCCTCTGGCTAGGCTCCCTGCACCTCCCTACCCCTAACCATATTCCATAGGGAAAGTTTGTCCCCACAGAGAATGAATAAAGCAAGAAAGCGGAAGGCTGGCCAGCTTCTGGGCATCAATACTTTTTATTTTTCTCATTCATTCATCAACTCTTAATTGGTGTCTAATGTCTGTCAGACACTCTGCTAAGGGTAATTAAAAGGCGAAATAATTTCTTTTTTTTCCCCATGAAGTTTATAGCCTTCTGAGGGTGACCGATGAGTAAGCAGATACTCACGATGTGATAAGTGTCTTGCAGGGTAATAGGAGATGAGAACAGAGAGCGTAACCAGTAGCAACTCCTGCGGAGTGATTTTGGAATGGATCCTGTGTGGCATAGGGACCCTTCTCAGACCCAGGAGCAGAAGTGTCATACACAGGAAGACACGTTGGTGGGGAATGCCTGGAAGATGGGTCCCTGGCTGATGGGTGTCAGCAGGATAGAGCATCCGAGAAGGGCTGGGCCTTGGCTGTAGACACATCTGTTGAGACTGGCCAAGAGGTGGTCTGGCCTGGGAGATGGCAGAGGTCCAGCTGATGGGGCAGTGCACTTGGCTGGGCGTATGCCTTACTTCATCCATGGTTCAAACAAATGGGTGGCCCTGGATGTCCACATGGTGGTAGATATCATTGATGCTGACTGGGCTCTGCGAAGGTAAGTAGAGTTGGTTGGACAGGAGAGATCCACGACATCAGCTCCCAGTTTTCCCACCCCAGGATTCAAAATAGGACTCCAATTCCTACAGGAGAGATGATGGCGATGGAGCAGCGCCTAGACTTGGAGGCCAGCAATGAGGGGTACCCAGTCCATGGATAAGCCAGGAGATGCTCAGGGGGTAGCCTTACCCATGGGACCTTTTATGAATGGAGTCCAGGTGGACAGCGGAGCCATGACTCAGAGGGCAATGCAGATTTCATGGCCAAGGCAGTCATAGGCTAAGTCCTTCCACCCAAGGTTGGCATTGTTTAGATCCCGGGGCCAGACTGGTATGAGGATGGGAACACTAGCAGGCCCAAAGGGGGCTGGGAGCTGCCAGGGCAGGGGAAGAAGCAGTCATATTTACCAGGCCCTCCTCCTCGCCAGGCACAGTCTGTCCTGGACACTCTCTGTCTGTGATCTCACTAAAACGTTCCGTGAATGGGAATGGTCTCTCCATCCACCCAGGAGGACAGCAAGGCTCTGAGAGAGTCTAAGTCCCTTGCTAGTGTCTCAGTCGTACTTGGTAGATGCTGTGCTCCAGGCGGGCCTGTGTGGCCCCCGTGGGAGAAGGCAGACCAGACCTGGAGGCCCAGGGGAAGTCTCTTCATAACAGGAAGACTCAGTCCCCGTTTGTGCTGGGCCATGGCAGGAAGCCCAGGCTTGACTCTGCCCCTCACATGGGTGGCTGGGTTGGCTGGATGTGACCCCTAGGCAGGCTGAGCAAGAGGCCCTGCTGTCTAATGGCTGGTTTATTTCCAGATTGAAACCTTCCACCTCCCACTCCCCTCCTCGGCTGCCCTGCCCTTTGCAGCCTGGACCCTGGGAGGCCACAGTGACATCCAACGCTCACAGCAGGCTCATTGTACTCTGCACAAATCCCCTTGTCATCAGCCGGGTCCTGGTGGGGGGTGGGCGTGCTAATCGAATCGGCCCTTTCCCCCTCTGTAATTACTGTAATCTATAACAATAATTACAGTCCATTTTAGTTTAGCGCCACTTATCTAAATGTGGATGTGCACTACTGAGATTGCTAACAGAAATAAGCCCCTGGATGAGGCGGCGGGTGGGGAGGGCTGTTGGGGGGAATGGAGCCTCACAGCTGTGGCGACCACCTTTGCCTTTGTGAGCCCACTGCTGCCCCTACTTTGCTCTGGAGAACAGCATGCCTGCAGGCGGGTAGGCTATGGAGCCATTGGAAAAGAGGCAGGATTGTCACGTCAACTCTAGGTGGAGTGATGCCCCAGGGAGGGGATCATCTTGGACCTGAGGCCAGAGTGACCACTGGAAGGTGGCCACCGCAGTCGAGTTGCAAAGTCCTTCGAGGATGGGATAACTTCCTCTACAGCCAGTTTCTCAAATGCCTAACGCGATGGCTGGCACATGGTGGGGCCGAACGGTTGTTTGGCAAATGATGTAAAAGCAGCATTAAATAAAAAAAAACACAAAACATGTCCTTTAGGCTGATCATTGATCTAGGCAGCTTTCTACCCGTGAGTCGGGACTCAATGCCTCTGTGATTTGGGAAAGATGATTGCTCGGGGGAATAACTTACAAAAAAATATTTCATTTTATGTAGCATTGTGTAGTTGGGCCAGGGAGAGTGCACATGTGTGTGTGTGTGTGTGTGTGTGGTGTGAGTGTGATGTGTTGTATGTGTATGTGTGTGCACTTGTTTGATGCCCTTTCACGGCCATGTTTCTTTTTCCTTTATTGGAGGGAGCTAATCTTCTGTCTACTGTTTTTGCCCTGAGCCAGACAAATCTCCCAATTCGATTCCAGGGTTTGGAAGTCTTGGGGGTGGTGGTAGTTGTGGTGATAGAGAGTTGAGTACTGGAGGCTTCACTGTAAAGTCGAACGGGGCTTCCTTACTGACCACACTAGACACCAGGAACAGAGAAAAAGGCAGTCACCTTCCCTGTCTTTGGGGACCAGTCGAGACAGTTATTTCATTTCAGCCTGCAAGCCTCAGACTCTGGAGGTCATGCTTCCATCAATACGTCAATATGTCAAAATGGCTGAGTCCTCATCTACATTGCAGTGGGAACCCCACACCTCCCCCTGCCGCACACCAGGGGTTCTGGGCATCTCGGGACGCTTGCTTCCTCCCAGTCGCCCATTATTCTCGTCTCTTTCCCGCCTCCATGGATTTCATCTCACGCTCCTTTTATCTCCTCCTGTGGGTCTCTTTCCTTGGTGTTGCCCTGAACCACTATGGAACCAGACTTTTTTCCTTTGATCTACAAAAGTGACCTGAACACAGGGCTGTTGCTGAAGCAAGGGTTTCCATGAAGGTGTGGGGGTGTTATGATACCAGCATAGGGCATTCCTTACCTGAATATTTAGCCTCTGAGTTTAAAAGCTTCTCCAGCCCAGTCAGGTCTATTTCTCATTCACATAAAATCCACAACCAGTGTTTCCTGATCGCTAGTGTGTGTGTGTGTGTGTGTGTGTGTGTGATCTGCTCCTCTCCATCATTCTGGGCCCGGGACTGAATGACTGGTCCCAAAGCAACACTGGGTGAGAATATCCCATCTACAGATGGGGCAGAGCATGGGGGTCCCCATGGAGAACTGTTGCCAGGCCGAGAAGTGTCACCTGTCACATCTCATTGAGTAGAATTCAGTCACACGGCCACGCTCAAATGGAAGTGAGGCTGGAAATGCAGTCCAACTGTGTGATCAGAGAGAAAAGAAAAAGAATGTGGCAATCAGCGACAATGCCCTGCCACAGTTAGCCCTTCTGGTCACCATTGTAATGTGTCATCTTTCTTCCCTCACTCAGAACATATGCACCTCATCCTCAAAGGGGACTAGCCTAACATCCCATCTGGTGTCTGGATCTGGTCCAAAGGCCAGAAATTCTGGACTCCATCAGCTTACGATGAGGCTGCTTGTGCTCCTGCAGCTCGGGAGCTAAAACAAGCGAGCTGATACCGCTGGTTGTCTGCAGCCGTGTCCCCAGAGCCACCTCATGCACAGTCCTAAAACTGGGTTAGGGTAAATGCAGGGAGCGCTTCCTCCCAGGAGAAGGAAGAGAGGGAGGCACGCAGCAGCAATGCTGAGTCCACAGGGAAGCCCTCGTGAGCTCTTGGCTCTCGCAGTGGACGAAGTTCCTGGAGCTGAACCCGGTTCTGTTCTCCTGGGAAAGCTTCCTTGACCCATGTCCTCTGCGGTTCCCCAGTCTCTCCCTTAGAGGTTTGCCCTTTTCCCATCAGCGTCCATGGCCACGTCTAAGGTGCTGTGGAGTCTGCCTGTAAGTTATGGGTTTGAGAACTGGTTGGTATCGTTCGAGCTTGGGTTTGATGTGTATACATATGCTAACAGTTAAGCGCGAACTCTGCTCCCGAGGTGAGAGTCAAAAACTCTTTGAGAGAGAGCTGGCATGTTCTCTATTAAATTCTTCGTCAGACAATAAACCCTCCGAAAGAGTTCTTCCAACAGAAGGTCTCCATTTCTTCAACTTTCCTAAAATGTATGCTATTCTCTTTGCTAGATGTTTCCCAGCTCTTTTTCATCTGCAGCAGATTTTACAGAAGGTTTGAAAAGACAGAGGGCAGTTACAGCATAGCCCCATACAGGAGTCCACATGGAAATTGAACACTGCATTCTCTTATTCTTAACAGGCTCTCACCCCGCTGATGCCAGGGGCACCCCAACCTCAGCTAGCCAACCCCCCCGACATGACGGGATCTCCTGGTGTGCCCTGGTCTAGCTATCCATTCTCAAAGGCTCACTTCTCTGGGTGCCCTTGGGAAGTTTTATTTTGGCTGAAGCAAGTGGCTGGTGGCAATGGCTTTATATATTTTTTGGATTGAAATGATTCTGGCCATGCTAGATGGAAGGGAACATCCGGTCAGTCCCGGATTGCTCATTTGTCTGTGCCCTGAAGCAGACTCGAGGCCGTTTTCTGAGGGGATTCCTGCCCCCACCAATGACAATCTTCAGCTTCCCTCATGACACACATTCCTATAAAGACCCGTGGCTTCTACCAAAGGATGTCACCTCTGCCTGGCTCTATTTCCTGCTAAGTCTCAGAGGTTACGACTCGACTGGCAAGCAGGGAGCTACACTCCAGGAGTCAGCTGGGCAGTCCAGGACAGTCTCGAGTCCACCATTGCTCTTTCTGTCCACAGATCAGCCACAAGAAACTCCATTCAGTGAGGATTACATAAAGGATGAGAGGTCTCTCCTCTCTTCTTGATATTATGAAATACGTTCTGAAGTCAGTCTGGGCATCTGAAGGTGCCACCCATAAATGCCCAGCCCTCCCTGAGCCCTTGGCAGGACTGGTTTGATCACCTTGTGCTTTGCCACCTAAGCGACAGCATCTGGAAAGCTGCTGTCTGCATTCATTGCAAGGATGCTGCTAGTGATGCTGTTGGCCACTTTGCTTCACTGAGCCTGGGTTTATGATCCCCCAGGAAACAGTCTTTTCTGATTATAATGCCAAAAACAGTTGCAATCCCCCAGAGGTACCTGTTTGTGCGCATCTTCTGGACGTAAGGAATGTGGTGACTAGCAGCGTGTCCCTCTTGGTGCCAACTCCCAGGAGGTCGAGAGCCCAGTGAGGCTCACCTGTTGGAGATGTGGAGACCATATGTGATTTCTAGTTAGGTTCCGGCTCCAGGTTATTTCCATCCTTCTTTATTTTCTTGTTTTCTTTTGATCCCATGTTAATGCATGCTATTTTATTGTAATTAACTTTGTAAGCTGTCCCAAATCTCTCCTGGAAGCTTCAGAAACACACGCAAACACACTGATTTGTACACGAGTCTTTTCTACAGCAGCCTCAGATGCCAGTGTGACCTGTCACCCCTGACCTCATGACTCCACTGTAGCTGTCCTGGCCTCCTTGCCACTCCTTACATCTCCCAAGCATGCACCTACTTCAGGGCCTTTGTACTTGCTGTCCCCTCAGCCTAAATGCTCTTCTCCCTCATATTCGCTTGGCTTACTTCCTCAAATCCTTCAGGTTTTTACTCAAATATCTTCTTTTCAGTCAGCCTTTTTTGGTCCACTTTACTACAAATTTCAACACGCAAACATTCCCCATCCCGCTTCCCATATAACCATTTGTATTAATCTGCTGGGTTTACATATATATAAGATACATGTAATACTTTATGTAAGGCATTGGCTCATGAGAACATGAAGGCTGATGAATCCCAAGATCTGCAGGGTGAGTGGGCAAGCTGGAGACTCGGGAGAGCTGGTGGTGTAGTTCTAGTCAGAAGCCCACCGGGCTCAAGACCCAGGAAGAGCCGATGTTTTCATTCGAGTTTGAAGGCAGGAAAAAGCCAGAGTTCCAGTCTGAAGGCAGCCGGGCAGGAGGAATGCTCTCTTACTTGGGGAGACTCAGCCTTTTTGTTCTATTCAGGCTATCAACTGATTGCATGAAGCCCACCCACCTTGGGGAGAGCAATGTGCTTTCCTCAGTTTATGGATTTAAATGTGAACCTGATCCAAAAACACCCTCACGCAAATACCCAGAATAACGTTTGACCAAGTATCTGGCCACCCCACGGCCCATCAAGTTGACCCAGAAAATTAACCATCATACTATCTAACACACTGTCTATTTTGACTTGTTTTGCTTTTTGTCTGTCTCTCTCTGCTGGACTGTAGCATACAGGAGAGCTGTGGGTTTTGCTTGTTTTGTTTATTGCTGGGTCCCTGAGGTTTAGAACAGGGCCTGGGCTGCTTGCTGAGTGAATGAAGAAATTCTGTTTTCAAGCTGTCAATAGACAATGAGACCGTCTGTCCCACAGAGATCTTGTGAAGGACGTCGATTGCCAATAATGCAAGCATTTCCTTGGCAAGATATTATAATATCAATTCAGACTTCTGTGTGTGTGTGTGTGTGTGTGTGTGTGTGTATGTGTGTGTACGTGTACGCACACACATTTCTGGTCTTGGGTTAATTGTAAGTGTTGTAATTAGTGTTGTTGCCATCATTATCATTTCGTGCTATCTGTAGTGGTTCCCAGACCTGGCCAGCTTTTCAACTTATGAATGTCATGAAATTCTTAAAAGAATATTAATTTGGATTTGTTATAATTAAACTTTTAATTTATGCCTTGAGGAAGATTAATTTTGAGACAAAAGACTAACAAAAGTAGGTCAAACCAGTGCTCAACTATTGAGAGTTCCTTGCTTCGTGAATAACCAGCATGCTCTGTAAGACCTTGTTAGGGCCTGGTGATTTAAGATCGTGGCTTCTGAGACCAGACATACCGGGCTTCAAATCCAGATCCAACCAGTTACTGACTGTGTGAAAACTAGTTTGAACAAGGTTTTTTAAAATGCACAATAAATCTCTGTTTCTTTGCTGGAAAATGGAGACAATGATATATACTTTGCGGACTTATTAAATATGATCCTTTGTCTAAAATGCCTACCACAAAAACAGGCATGTAATAGTTATTCATTAAATGCGGGTTTTACTCAAGAGGTTTAAAGGAATGAGTTAGCATTTCCCGAGCCGAGCTTTCTGGTTGGGAGGGTTTTTACCTCAATAATCTGCCTATTAACTACAGCATACGGGCATTCTTTTATCCAAACTACATGCTCACAGGGTCAACCACCACTATATTACAGCTTATGTCATCAATAATGCTGTATTTTCCAAAAGCAAAGATTGTTCATTTGTCAGAGACGTGTTATAAAAAAATAATAGTATAGATTTCAGAGGACAAAGAATTAATTTCTGGCTGGGCCCGAAGTGCTCATGTGGCGTAGCGGGAGCACATAGATGAAAGGAAATGTTCTTCCCCAAATGATGTTATGACTCAGGAGTCCAGGGGAATTAACTTTTGTTTCTTTCTAGTAGAGGAAAAATTATCCTTGATTCGATATTGATTTTTTAAGATGGGGTTCTGCTGCCTTCACACTCAGGCTGAGAGCAGAGATTCAAATGCCGGCTCTTAATCCTACTTTTCATTTCCCCTTCTGGTGGGGGAGCCAGGAAGCGGTTCCCAGTACTCTGCAGGGACTGGAGGAAACACTTCCTGGGGAACAAGGTCCTTAACTTCCTTTGCCGTCTGCATTTGTAAGCAGGCACCCCCAGCCCATAGAATCACCTGCTGGGCCAAGCCAGGCATCTTGGTCTCTCTTCACAAGACCGCACACTCTGGAAATCACAAGAGCGACAAGTCTTTATTCAGCACTTACTGTATGCCAGAAATTCTTCAAAGCACTTTATGTGTAACTAGTTCGATATAACTAATTTAATCCTCCTCATATTCCTGTGACTTAGGAACTGAGGTTGACTTCCGCTTTATAAGAAGGAGGCTCAGGGAGGTGCGGCTCACCCAGGATCACACGGCTCAGGAGGGGTGGAGGTAGGGTTTCACCCAGACGGCCTGCCTCCAGACTGGGTTTTAAGGTAGCCGGCTCATGGGTGTCTGGGAGACATGCAATCACATATGGTGCCTGCTGTGTGTCAGGCACCTTGTGCATATCAACCCTCAGTCCCCACAGCCACCCCCATAGGAGGGATTATCATCCACATTTTACCCATGGGGGAACTGAGGCTGAGTGAGGTTAAGTAACGTGCTCGAGGTCACAGGAATGGTGGCTTGGGAGAGACAGGACCTTAGCCTGGTGGTGTAGGATGAGAACAGTCTCCTGTCCTCTTGGAGCCCTAGTCCTCACAGGTTCTCCTCCCTCCAGCTTTCCCCCACAGCCTTCTTCAGGCAGACCTTGGTGTGTGGGTCTGCGGAGATCTGTTGGCAGTTGAAAGTGGGAATGTTCCAGAATCCCAGATGCTGGTGGCCTTGGCGTTGAGTCCATTTGACCTGTAGTGCCCATGGAAGCAAGGCACTGAGTGGACAGGGCTCTAGCAGACCCCCCTTTCCCCCATAGCAGATTTGCTCTGAGACCCTGGGGCTGAGTGTAGGCGAGGGACCCCCGACATCCTCCCAACCCTGTGCAATGACCTGAAGTGGAGCTGCTTTGCTCCTTTTGTTTCATCCATTCTTGACGTGATACCACTTGAGTTGTAAGAGAGGACACAATCTGGGCTAGTGCTGTGGAAAGGAGATGCAATGAGAATCTGCATAAGGCTGCACCCAGCCCTGGTCAGTGCTCCCTTCCTGTTCCCTGGCAGGCATCTTTCCATCATCCCTCAGATGCTCATCTGCAAACCAACGAGGTCCCTGTGCAAAGGACCACCTCTTTGAATATGGTGGGACCATCAAAGCCACCCACCATTTCCACATTTAACTTCCCTTTTTCCCTTTCCATCCTCAACTTGGTGGCTGCTTTGCCAGTGTCTGTTGTGTGAGATTAGCTGCTATCACTGACTGCTCGCTCAGGGGTAAACTGTTAGAGGACAGGCCTGGAAGGGGCAGTCAGGACCTCTTTAGATGATGTAATTAACCTCATCACATTTCCGCTTGTAGAGCGGCTAACACTGTCCAACACTGTCCTGTCTTTCTGGTATTCAACATGTTTTAATTAAAACAGGAAAGCATGGGCTGGGCCAGGAGAGGAGCATTGAGCTTGTCCTTTTGGATTTGTAGAGGAGTTTATCGCTCTGTTGGTCTCTGTCCTTCTGACACGTCTGGGAGTCCTGTCTGATGGGAGCACCGGGCCCGGCGCAGAGTAGGTGCTTAGGAAGCATCTGACTGAGCCAAGTGGCAGCAATGAAACCCTGGCCGGAGGATTCAGAAGGTTCCCACCTGGTAAGAGAGATTTCACTCCACAAGGCAGGTTTTGGATTTTTCCGACAGAGTGAGGCAGGGGAACAAAAATCGAGCCTTGTTCTCATTTGATGTGTTCTATGTGCTGGCCCGGAGGCCTTCATAGAGCGAGGAACACCAGCCAATGAGACAAGGCTTTCCTGGGCTGGGGGCTCTGGAGCTGCACGTTTCCCTCACATGAAAGGCATCCGAGCTTTGCTACCCAGCTTTTCTCCAACAGCCGCTTGGCGACGTGCAGAGCAGGAAGAAGGAAAGGTATTTTACTTCACTGAAAATATTTTGAGAAATGACAACCTAAAAACATTTCTAGAAGTCTGTTTAAACAGTCACTCCTTCTCAGCTTTCTTAGATGCTTTCTTCCCCTTCATATCCCTCTAAATATCCTTTCCTGGGGATATTCTATTGCTCCATACTCCTCCCAGTTAAGATGTGTTGTGCTCCAGCTTCGACGGACTTGCATTTTCTTCCTCTCCAGCTCAGGAGTCTTTCTGAAGTTCCTTGCTAAGGTCTTTTTTTCTGAGAATTCTTGGCTTCTTATTTACAGTAAGTTAAAATCCAGAATGTCAGCACAGCTTGCATGGCAGCATTGTCCCCGTGCCCTGAGATTATTTCTTACAGGTCCCTTCCATCTCACTAGAACATGAACTTTCTGAGTTCAGGCTCTGCATCTTTCTGATCATCACAATATCCCAATGGCCTACAGTGACTAGCAGAAAGGAGAAGTAAAATCCATTTTTCTGGTGAATAACAACATGGTTCTTGACAACTGGGCTCTGGAGTAACACTGCCAGGAGTCACCCACTGCCATCTCACCCTGGCTCCCTTTGGTGCCTGTGTCTTACCTCACTTAGCCTGCTGCTCCGACCCACAAGCCCCACTGGAGCATCACCGTTACCTCACAGGGGCGTCAGATGTGGGCTCTGCTCTCACACCTCCAGGACCCCTTCTGCAGAGCTGGTGCATGCTGTGCTCCTCAGAACCTCTCTCCTCCTCTATGATAGCCCTGATCTCACCGTTTCCTGCTTTCATCTTCTGTTTATGCCTCTCTCATGTTCCTCAGGGGGCGTGGCCTCTTCTTGTCAATCCTGTAGACAGCATGGAATCTGGCACTTAGATGCCCAAGAACTGGTTAAGTGAGTGAGTCCTGAGATGATGGACCATGGACAGAAATACATTTGAGGGGTGGATACATTCTTTCCTCACGATGTTTTCCATGATGTCAGGTATGAACTTCTATGTACAAAAGTGTTCAATGATTGCTAAATGATGAGACTCTCTTAACTGCTGACTGTGATAGCCTGAGCTATGGTGAGTATTCTTCCCAATTTGTCTGGGACTAAGGGGTTTCCCTGGAGACGGGATTTTCAGAACCCCAACTGGCAGAATCCCAGGGTCAGTTCATCCTCCTCTCCTGAGCTGTGGCCAATTAAGAAGTCTCTTTAGTAGATGAAAGGCTGGGTATTTGCTACTGTAACAATCTTTGCTGCCTCCTGCATTAGTTTATAATTTCTATGAAGACAGATAATGAGATCTTCAAAGGAAGAAAATAAGACAGCAATAAGATGTAGTTTCCTGGGAGCTCTTAAAAATCCCAATGCTCAGGTCCCACCCCACTTCACTTAAATCATAAGTCTAGGGGCGGGAGCCAGGCATCAGTCTAGTTTAAGAACTCGAAGGAGGTTCTGATATTCAGCAGAGTTGGGACCCTCTGTGACATGGAATTGTGGGGACACAATTGTGAATGGATTTGTTGAGTGGACTGTGGGCAAACGTAGATAGTAAGCAGTGGTGGCAAGCTTGTAGTCTGGCTGGGAGAAATGAGGGGCCCAGGATGGAGTGGACCCCAGGTTTCTAGTAGAGAATTGGTCTTTACCCCACTACTGATGCTGAGAATCACTCATCTCCCTGGTTTTGAGGCTTATTAGGACAAAGGGCATGGTTGATGAGGAGAAAATGCCCAGCTGTGTTGTGTGTTGGACTGGAGAACTGGAGATGGAGGTGACACCACCCCCATCCCGGTCACAGTGGAAAATGATGAACTTTATTGATATGGGCCATCAAGTTTGCTTTTGTCCAGATCATGACTTCAGCTCCCTAGACCTCATTGTATCGTAGCCAAAGGTAACAAATGCACTGCCTCTTCTGGATTCTCACCATAGACTGCCTTCCTCATCCCTCTGTGCCTGGAACTCATGGCTCCTGAGCAGGCCATGCAGAGACAAGTGGGTTTAGGGCGCTGTGGACACAGCAGAGATTTGAGGGTTCTGCCAAAGCGTGGCTGTCAGCTTTGTCCCTGCCTCTCCTTGTTCAGTTTGGCTTCCAGTTCACAGAGCCATGGGCCTTGTTGGCCAACCTCCCCTGCCCTGGGAGAGGTGTTGGGCACTCTGAGACTCTGTAGCACCTGCTTCTTTGCGTAGGAGGAACCAGTGTGACAGCCTGACTTGGGACTATGGCCATTGTGCTTGGTGGAAGCCCGCCTTCTCGGCGTCTGGCCTCCAGGCAGTGGTCTCACCTCCTGCTGCTTGCCTCCAGCCACTTGATGTTGTATAAGCCCCAGCCACACCAGGTCATGCCCATTCTCTGCACAGGTGACCCTCAGCTCTGCCCTACCCAGGACCCTGGCGCTGTCTTGTAAATGTGTTTTCTATTTTTCCTTGTAAGTGGAGGGAGATGGAAAGCATTTCCTATTTATTAACCTTTTATATTTTATCTTCTATCAATTATCTGTTCCACGTCATTTGTTGAGGAAATCATAAAATTGATCTAAGTCTCACTTTTCTTGTTTATAAAACAGGATTGCTTTGAGGATTAATTATTATTTCCTACACATATGTTATGTGCTCATTCTTGCACCTATGGCGTCAAGAGCTGCTTGCTAAATCTTTATAGCCTTCCCTCAGAGCAGCAGAGGCCTTACCCACATCTTCTCCAACATTCAAGGCCCAGCGGTGTTGAACCATTTGTCCAGGACTACGGAGGGGTTAGGGCCAAGGTCAGGATGCACACTGAGCCTCTCAGCCTACAGCTTCTCACTAGCCACCTGGATAACGCCACCACCAACAGGAAGTATTTGACTGTTTTTTTGATGGCATAGAACTCAGGCAAATATTATTTTCAAAGTCCATCAGGTTAGAATTTTTTAAATTTGTAAATTCCTTGATTACATAATATATTCACATTGTTCAAAAAAAATTTTTTTTAAGTATGTAGTGAAAATTCTACTCCTACCCTGACAAATAGGGTAACTCCTGTGTGTTCGACTCCTACTTCCTCCCTGCCTGAATCCATACCTGATGTTAGTTTCTTGCATATTATTTTTTAAATCATATAAAAACAAATAACAATATATAGACCTTAACCTCTTCCCCTATTTACTGATATTCTTGCAGTTGCTTTCGTATTAGTTCAGAAAGCACTTTTTGATTCTTTTTTTACAGGCGCATTTCTACAGGTTTTTGGTTTGTCTGTTGTCAGCTGCTTTCCTGTGAATGAATAGAGCATGATTTATTTTACTGGTGCCCAACAGAGGGACATTTAGGCTGTTCCCAATATTGTGCTATTGAAAACATACTTGAATGAATACCATTGAACAGGTATTAATTCACACGTGTGTGAGAATAACTTTAAGATCAATACCTAGAAATAGAATTGCTGGTTAAAAGGATTTGTGTGTGTGTAATTTTGCTAAATATTGCCAAGTTGCCCTCCATAGATGTCAAGTCAATCTCTAAATCCACAATGTATGGGGTAGCAATTTCCCTACTGTCTTGTTAACACTGTGCCTTGCCAAACTTTGAGATATTTGCCAACATGATGGGTGAAAATGGGAACATAGAGTAATTAAAATTTTTATGTTTATTATCCTACATGAGCCTGTGTATCTTTCAAAATATTTTAGAGGCATTTGTTTTTCCTTTTCTGTTAAGTGCTAGTCGTATAATTTTCCCATGTTAAAAATTGGGTTGTTGGTGAGTCTCTTTCTTATTGATTTGTAGACGTTTTTATGCCTCAGGGAGATTGCCGTTTATGTTGTAATCTCAACATTGCCAATATTTTTCCCAGAATATTGTTAGTTTTTTTACTTTACTTATTATCATTATATTGCCATTATTATTATTTTTTACCACGTGGAAGGATTTTATGTAGTCTGATTGCCATTCTTTTCTTTTTACGGACTCTAGATTTTAAATAATTTTTCCATGTTTTCTTCTAGTATTTTTGTAGTTTTGACTTGGTACATTGAAAGCTTTGATCCTTTTGGAATTCATCCTGGTTGCTATGTGCCTTGTATGAAGAATGGATCCCACTTAACATTTTGCCAGATGGTTGCCCAGTTGTCCCAATGCCATTTGTTGAATAATTCATATTTTCTGTACTTTCTTAGGGTTTGGTTAAGGGCAAAACACTCTCAACTTTCATCCTGCCGTAGTGGATTTTAGTCTGGGATTTCCCAGGAAGGTGATAAATCTCTTTGTCGAGGCCTCTGGTGTTTACATTGCCTGATCTCTTGGGATTACTCTGCGCCTCTTCACATGGTCTCCTGCTTTCCAAGCCTTTGTGGTTGCTTCCCTTGATGACAGGATTCTTTTCCTATAAAAAACAACATAAAAGCCCAATGTGTCTGATGTGCCTTCATGGTGGCTACAGCGACAGCACCAGCCACAGCCATTTACAGGCAGAGAGCTCTCAACAAACATCTCAAGGCTTGCTAATTTCTACCAAAGGATTCTGCCTCAGGACACGATGGATGCTGCCAAGCAAAAGAAATGTGAACAGGTGGAAGAGGGGCTACATTCGGCAAAGGAGAGCATAAAGACAGAGGAAAATGTCAGCTATTAAGCATCTGAAACAATAATAGAGGACATGCCTATTCCTTCCCCTGAATTCCACCTCGCCCGCTTACCATCTCCTCCACCCAGTGACTCTTCCAATAGAATGATTAACAACAAGCTGAAAACTCCAGAAAAATGTAAATGACTCAGGACCTCTGGATCCTGTTTGTCTATTTATGCATTTCTATATAAAGTTTATTTCCCCCTTATAAAAATAAGCATGCTTAGGGCTGGCCCAGTGGCGGAGTGGTTAAGTTCACATGCTCCACTTCAGTGGCCTGGGGTTTGCAGGATCAGATCCCAGGGGCGGACCTACGTCACGCATCAAGCCATGCTGTGCCACTGTCCCACATCCAAAATAGAGGAAGATAGGCAAGATGTTAGCTCAGGGCTAATCTTCCTCAAGCAAAAATAAATAAATAAGTAAGCACACTTGTCGTATACAGGTATGCTTTTGAACTTCTTCGCATTTTCTTAAAGAGTCTGATTCAATAAAGAATTTGAAGCAGATTTGAGAATGATGAATTTGAGGATGATGGTGTGGGAGGAGCATAGGCTCAAAGAAGTGTGAATTACGTGCGTCAGTACCATGACCACATTGCACACCAATTTGGCTCTGCATTTCATAGCAGTCATAGCAAAGAGGGAAATATTCGTTGCAACTTTTACAATAAGACGAAGAGCTACACATGGGAGGCCCAGCTTCTCCTACACCGAGTCCAGGACTAGTTCTCCCAAAGGCCCAAATGCTCATTATTGAGGAATTCTAGACCCATTGGGATTGACAATCACATACATGGGTTTGATTACAGGGAACAGGGGAAGCGTAAATGTGTCCTCACCCCCTAGAGGAAAAGGTCCTTTACTTCTGGTTAGCTCTGCAGGCAGGGTGGATCCAGGTGGCGTGACACATGGAGTGTATGCAATTTTGGAGGTTTTCTTTAAGGAAAAGACCATGAAATTGTAAATATAAAATCAGGCATGAGAGTGAATATTTACTTACTGAGACTATAAATCATAACACGAATCATAAAAACTATGAAAAAGTTGGCAAATACAACAAAATCTCACACACATAGACACACTGCCTGGCACACAGTTCTGTAATACTTTTCCCCTATCTTTTTTTGGCTACTGTTTTCTTTGGCTATCCTCTCTTCATATGACAATCTTTTTGAGTTTCATTTTCTATAGCAAGAATAGAAAGAGAATTAATTTTCCTCTGGGATGGTTTATTGAAGGTTTTTTATTGGTAGTTGTTTAGAAAGGTTTTATTTATTTTTCTCATCATTGTTAAGGTCTTGTAAATTTAAGATTGTTGTCAAAATTGGGTTTTTGTATGTTAGTTGTAAATTTGGAAGATTTTTTCCATGGCTAGCTTCTGACTTGGTTTATTTTGAAACTGGTTTCTCCTCTACTTCCACATACTTCCGGTGCCAGGGTCTGCAGGGCATATGTTACCTCCGCATGACCTCACCTGTGCACCTTGGTGGTAGCAGGCCAGGTGAGTTGGCACACAGGGCGGTTAAAAGAAATCCTGCATTGCCATTCTGGGACAGCTGGCAATAAGTTAACTGTGCTCAGAAGTGATGTCAGACCACAGAATATATCCCACTAAACTCAAGCCAAATTTACCAAAACTTAGCTTCCCCGAATTTCTATTAGCTGTTCCAACAGCAGTAGATGCAAGAGACAGTGTGGCTAAAGGGAGTTGGCATGGAACAGCAGTCTTCACTGATTTCAGTGAAGTATCTGACTTTTGCAAGTTTTACAAAACCAAAGGGGCGTGGGAGCACATGGCTAGTGCCTCTCCCTTGCAATTGGGTAGGCCAGGGCAACAGAAGGGCCCTGAGGCCTAAGTCATTCCCTCTAGTTAAACCTCCCTCTGTAAGCAGAGCTCCACAGAGTAACCAGAATCACTTCCCATGCCTCCTGCGGGGGGTTAACATACAGGATTTGGACACAGACACTAGGTCCTGTTTTATTTCAGTATGACCCTGGGCTAGTTATTTAACTTCTCTGAGCCTCAGTTTCATCAGCTTGAAAATGGAGATCATCATAATAATATGAACATATGGGATTGTTTTGAGGGTTAAATGAGGTATACGTTCATTGCTTTGTGCATCATAAGCTCTAAGGTGATATCAGGTATACGGATACATGAGCATCCTGAAAGAGACCATCTCACCACTTGCGCTGTCCTCTTTGGGACCAATAAAAATCCTTGCTGCCTTTGTGCTGTACGGTCCAATGACCTGTTGTATTTTAGAACCCTGAAGGTCTTGCCTTCAGACAAGTAGAGTTTTGAATTTAGTGATTCTGATTGTTGTTTTCAACTTTTCTCTTCTCTTTTCCTTGAATTGTCCATACTTGGGTCCACACTCTGGCTAACATCCAACGTTAACCAGAGTGTGAGCTGAAATTCAAGCAAACTCCAGCTGTTTTTTGTGAGTGGAGTGAAGGGACTGACCTAGCAGGGGTGGAGGAGGACTAACCTGAGGACACAGGTTTACTAACTTGATTGGAGTAGATTCAGGAATAAGTTCCAAGCATGTTTTCCAGGGGTTTGGACCACCCCGTAGCACAGACTGGCCATTCACCTGCCTCTGTCTACCCGTTATGTCCTAGGCCCCGGTCTGCTCTGGACCCCATGGTGCTCATGGACCCCCTGCAGCAGCTCAGGTGGCTGAGTGTCCCCACACCAAGGAGGCTGGCTCCTAAGGAGACCAAGGAAACTTCATCCACCCAGGCTTGCTCTCTCTGTCCCTTTAGGGTCTCACTGTGGGCATGTGAATCCTGCCAAAACATGCTATGTGGGGCCACTCAAAGGCTCCACGTTTATTTCGGAGGCCCTGCGGTGAGTTGCTTTGCCAGGTGTACCCCTACTAAAAATGGTGCTCCTCAGGGCGCCTCTGTGCTGCCCTTTTAGAAGAACCCCTTTGCAGGACACGCCCAGCGGTATAGAAAGATGCTAGAGCTCTCTGATTATTCAACACAGCTGCCCCTGGGCCCAGGAAGGACTTACTGAGATTTATTTGGCTCACCTCTCATCACCCTCCATGGAACGGCTCACCATTTCAGAGGCTCACCATCCAGCTCCTGAACAAACCAGATTCCTGCGGGCAGAAAACGCATTTATTTAACTTTCATTAAGAACTAATGTGGAAGCATCCAGCAGTCTCCAGAGGTCTTCTCTGTGGCCTCCTCCATAATTTATGTATTATTTAATCTTCAAATGCAGTCTCACAGAGCCTTCGCCGGATTTTCCTCATCTGCCTCCCCACACGGCGATAAAATTATCCCCTGAGCGTCTTAGATCACAAAATGCTACCTTTTGGAAATGGAGAGATAATACTGTTTATGTATGAGTAGGAGAGAATTACTTTACTTGTCTGTAGTAATGCTGATTAAATTGAAATGTCAGAGCTAATGTTACAGTTAATAAATGTTATACATATTCAAATCTGTCCAAATACTGACAACTCTAACTAATGCATACGATGCTGTTTAAAATCACAGGAATACCCAAATTTTGTGAGTGCCATTGGTGCTATCCATTTCTGAATAAGGTGCAAATATAAATGAGACCCATGTTGCTGACCTCTTGCAGGTCATGTTTTGTCACTGAGAGTTTTCTTAAGTGGATAAATTGGTACTGCTATGAGAGGTCGACCTAGCCTTTGGGAAACTATTGTGAGATAAGTTGCAATATGTAAATCGGAAGGTGGTGGGGTAGGAGTGTGTTGTTAGGGTGTGATGGGAAAATAGAGTGCCAGACATCAGTAGGCCAGGGGCCATCAATGAGAGGGAGGGCAAATGGGCTTCTCCATGTCCCCTCCCCTCTTACAGCCTCGTAAAGAAGGTTTATCGTTGCGTCTTCTCTTCTTCATAAGAGAAATTGTAGCTGAGAACTGTTATCTCAGTGGGCATCCTTGCGCAGATGGTCACAGGTCTTTCTGTTCAAAGAGTAGAATGCAGAGAGCACGAGGGGGTAGGAACACAGAGGAATGGAGATTAAGGCTGTGGTGTGGGCAGCTGGCTCGGGGCACCGATGACAGAGACCAAGACTCCAGTGCCCCCTGCCTATCCTCCCCAAAGCCAAGTCTGGATATGTGAAGAAGGATGGCACCTCTGCTATGGCCACAGGAGAGGTCTTTGTTGATTTACTGTCCACCCACCCCGTCTCCCCAGATGCTCCATGTTCTGCTGTGCTTTCCCAGTTCCCAGACTGAGCATGAGATTTCTAGCCCCATCGATAGAGTTGCAAATTCTCGCCCTGCCCCATGCTAGGCGTGTGACGTTAGGCTGGGTTTTAACGCTCAGGCTGCTCATGTGTTAAAGGGAGTTAGACATAGCTGTCTCCTGGGACCCTTCTGCTTAAGGGGGAGCACATGTATATCAGGCACCTGGCAAATCACCGGCTCACAGGTGGCACCCCTCCTCCCACATGCTCCACTCCACCTTCCCTCATTTTTACAGCATCAAGACTGGAGGTTCTCTTCTCCTCCCCACTGCCCTCTGTCTGTCCTGGCAAAGCCCAGTCGCCTTTTTTGGTTGGCAGGAAGGGAGCAAGCAGCCTGTGACCCCTCTCGCCAGCACGTGGAGTAGACTAGGGCTTGGCTAGAAACAGGGAAGCCAATTGAGGTGCAGTGCCTGCATCATGGCAGATCGGGGACTGACTTGCACGCTCATACTCTACGGTGGAACGTCTGTGATGGCACAGCTGGCATCCGCTGGCAGGTAGCTCCTCACCCTAAGAGAATTTTAATTCAGTAGGATTTTGCCAGCAAGTGTCTGTAACAAAGAAAGGGTATATTAAAGTGTGCATTAGGGATTGTGGTTACTATAAATTACATTCTTTGAAATCTCATTTAGATCCAGGAAACAGACTGCATTTCGAAGCCTCGGAGGATTAATCCTTTTGGAACAATGGAGTGTCAGTGATCATTTGGAAAAGTAATTATGCCAAATTTAATTATCAGGCATGTGCATTTCATCGGCGTCACCGTGCACCCCCAGAGGACAGTGCAGAAAAGGTTGTCCCAGCACGGGCCCTTGATTGAGGAACGTGGTGCCAAATTATACATGTTGTAATTGAGTGTCACTTAATATGAGGTTTGATGGATGCAGAGATGGTGGGTGGAGCGAGTGGGAGGGGGCGTCTGGCCCACTCAGCAGATGTTTGAGAAATTTGGAAAGGCTTTTCAATGTTTTGAACGTTTTGGAGAGGAGCAAAGTACATTTCAAGTAGGCTGGTAAAAATGTTTCCCTGTCTTAAGCATTTCTTTTGTTCTCTGTTCTTGTGGTACCCTCACCTCTTCGGAACTGCAGAATTCAGTTTGGAATACTCAAGTGAGTTGCTGAACGGGACTTTGAAAGTGTGCATGTGTTTGCGGAGTGTAGGGGTGGCACAGGAGTGTCTGGGGGACAGATGGACTGTGGAAATGTGGATCATAAGGTTTTCAGAGTTTGTGATAGTGGAGGCTGACCTGTTGGTGACCCACATCGGGGTAATCCGTCTCCTGGCCCCCATCCCAGCTTCTTCCTTTTGGCTGGCTAACACTTTAGAACTTATTGTCCTTAGCTCTTCTTTAGGGGGCTTCCCCTGATGACCCTGAGTCAGGGTGGGTGCCATGCACTCACTCACTTGCACAGTGCAACAATATTGTTGCCATTTATATGCCTATGGCCTCTGTACACTATGGGCACCCACCATGAGAACAGTGACCACATCCGTTGCTCAGCCTTGGCTCCCAGCCCCCAGCACAGCACCTGCATAGAAAGGGCTCAGTAAATATTTGTCTGAGTGGATGATCAAAAACTGGAAAGAACAGGAATCGATTCTTCCTCTCTACATGTCCCTACCTGTGCTGAAGCCTAAACAAAGTGTCTTCAAAGCTGTTGCCTCTGGTTTTGGGGTGCAATCTATAACGCTCTGGAGGTAAAACCATTCGTATGCGAAACTTGGACCTTCCACTGATGTGTGACCAGGAGCTAGTAGGTTAGCTTCTCTGGGGCTCAATGAGGATTGTAAAAGTGATGGCGGGCATCCTTGAGAGGACAAAGTGAAATAGCGTATGGCAGGTGCCTGGGAGGTGACAGGTGCTCTGTTCTTCCTGGGATATTCATAAAAAGTTACTTTTTATTTGCTCAACTGAGCTTAGAGTCTCTTTTATCTTTTGAAGAGTTGGCCAAGAATTCATTAAGGATGCCGAAGCCAGGACCTTGAACTTGAGATTAGAGGTGCTATTAGTGGATTATCAATGCCTTGGGGCCAACGCCACATCTCCTGGGTGTGAGCGATTGGTGGGCAAGTCTGCCCCTGTTGAGGAAAGACCCTCTGCTGTGCTTTTGGCTGAGAACCTCGCTGCCACAGGTAGAGTCTGATGGCCTTGTGGGGTTTGGTGTCCATGAGACACTTCTTTTCCTGGCTGGGGTGTTTCACCAAGACACATGACCCTCAAATCATTACAGCAAAGCAGAACGTTTACTGCACAGGAAATTCAGGCATAACTCTTACCTCATGGGGCTCTTAGGAGACAGAAAATGGGAAAATTGGGGAGGTTGTGCTTGAGAACCGTGGAGAGTGTTGCAAATATACATTTACTGTTGACCTCTGTCTCGCCGGCTAATGCAATGTGTGACCAGCCTCAGTGCTTTTCCAAGACGTGAGCAGGCTTAAAGATAAAGGAGTGCAGACCCCCTCTGACTTCTGCTGAGTTGATCCAGTTTTCCTGGCAGCAAATGAATGGGGCAAGCCCAAAACTGGCAAAGGGAGGGAACTAAATTGCTCTGAAATTGGCCGGTGTGTCAGGCAGAGTGCTAAGTACATTATCTTGTATAATTTCATCTCGTTTTCACAACATCCTGAGAAGTAGGTGATACGGTCTCCATTTACAGCTGAGTTGCCCAAATCATGCAATTAATAATAACAATAATAGTAATACCACCTGAAATCTACCAAGGACTTGCCATGTGTAGACGTTTCATAAAGCTGAACCATATAAAATTGCCATCTCTACAGGTCAGAAAGTGTTGAAGTTCAACTTCCCAAGGATCTCATTTGTGACTGAACTAACCACAGTCATTTGAGGCTGTCTGACTCCAAGTTCCTGTTATGACACCACCTCCCAAAGAGGGAAGCTACAGTGCTAGTGACACAAACGGATGTCAGAATGCCTTTTATATATTAATGGTGGCAAGAATTGGTACTATAAATGCCCCCACTGAGAAAGGTTGGGCCTGAAGCTTGGAGAAGGTGATGGGGATTACGGGCAAGAGAGCAAGTCCTTAGAGCTATGGGTACCCTTTCTTTCTTGTGCTAATTCTTTATCCGGCATGGTGCCTCAGGGTGCAGGGTGCCTCAGATGTGGAAGATGCTTTCACTGTATTAAGTTTAAAATGTCATCACTAATTAGCTAGGAAGGCAGGGTGGGGCCGTGCAGCACCAGGCCTGGGGACTTAACTTTATAGACATAGAATTGATGGGAAATATACGTTTTCCAAACTCATTTTAAAAATAGTTTCCCTTGGAAATTAAACCATTAAATTGTTCATCATTATGCAGATCAGTATTCATGCTTTAAAGAAACATAATTTTGCCTTCATTTAATTTGTTTCTCTAAGACCTAATTATGGATTGGATAAAAAATGTTATTTTTCTATCGCTGTGCAAATCGCTTTTTCTCACCTAGAAGGACAGCTGTCTCTGGTTATCGAGGGTCGTTTCCGGGCAGTAAAGAGTCAAGGAAAAGTCAGAGAGATGTCTTCCAAGAGGGAGCTGGTTGTTCATGAAGACGAAGAAACACAATAAGTGGGTTCCTTCTCAGTAAGACGGAGTAGTGGGGGCCGGCTTGTGTGAGACTCCAGGTCTTTTCCCAAGAACAGATGTATTCAGCTCTTTGACCAGGCCCTAGGGTTGTAAGGATGCCACAGGCCAAGGGCTGGTCCAGGGGCCAGCAGCAAGTCCCATCAGACTGGGCTGCCTGGCAGGGAGCACCAGAGTGGCGGAGGGCAGGAATGGCACTCAGTGACCTTGACTGACATTCAGGCACCAGGCAGAAGACAGTGCCTCTGGAGAAGTCACTTTGCTTCTTGGGAAGTGCTGATGCTAGCGACTTGATCCAGGCAAAGACTGAGACTGGAGTTGGCTCGGATTAGGATTATAATAAGAGCAACCAATTCTTTCGTGTTTACTATGTGCCAGGCACTTTAGTGTCGTTAAACACTAAAGTGTTAGCTTTAACACTAATGTTAGCTTTAGTGTTGTTAAAGTGTGTTTTAAACAGCTTACAAGCACCCGTTTGTATAATCCGTACAACAATTCTAGAGGAGGTCTATTTTGATCTACATTTTATAAATGAGGGCTTTGAGGTGCATAGGGGTTGAGCAGCTCATCCCTGTCACATTGCTGGTGAGCAAGGGGACTCTAGCATTTGCCTGGAGCTTCTGGCTTTGACCACTCCCCTTGTCTGCCTCTCAGTCTGAGCAGGTCACTCAAGTGCTGTAGGTTTACTCATATGGTTAATCTTCTCAACAGCCTCCTGAGGGAGATGGGACGGTGGTGAGCTGTTCTTCTGGTGGTCCTCAATGAATCACACCTCCAGGTGCTCCTGCCCTTTTGTACTCCCCTCCCCTTCAACCTGGGCTGGCCTGTGAGCTGCTTTAACCAATAGAATGTAGCAGAACTGACACTGTGACCTTATGACACTTGTCGGCCTTTACTTTGTGCTCTGGAGGAAGCTGGCTGCCACGTAAGAAGTCTGACTCCCCTGAGACCATGCTCAGCAAGGAGGAGAAGCTCTATGGAGGGAAACTGAGGCCCCAGCCAACAGCTTGGCCAAGCTCCCACCTGGTAGCCCCACCCCCTCGCCAGCCAGGGGAGTGAAGCCTTCTTGGAAGTAGATCCTGGGGCCCCAGTGTCCCTGGCTGACGCCACGTGAAGCAGGCACGAGCTATTGCCAAACTCCGTCCAGATTGCAAAAGCATAAGCAAGTAGATAAAACGATTGAAGATGATTTTTGTCTTAAGCCACTAAGTCTTGCAATTGTCTGATAATGCAGCAAACGATCATTGAAACGCCCATTCACGTCACTATATAGAGGGAAAGTCTGAGGTACAAAGAGCCTATGACTTGCCCAAAAGGATGCAACTCGGAAGTGGCACATGCAGAAATTGAGTCAAGGAGTGGGAATGCAGAGATACACTCTACCCACCATTCTCTGCTCCCTCCACTGGTGCGTCTCCAAGGATTTCCTCTGGGTGAGGCCCTATAGGGAGTGCTGTGGTATGTGAGCCCCCGCCTCGCCTCCTGGGTCTTATCCATCTGGCTGGAGTTAACATCCTCCCTTTAGAATACTTCCCAGCATAGGGGCATGAGTCAGGCTTTACTGAACTCCAAGAATGTACCAGACACTTCTTAGCAGCCTTATCATGTCATCTTACAACAGGTAAGATGATTGTCCCCCCGCCTTGCACGTAGGAAAACTGGGGTGTGGAGACTTTGGGAGTTTGCTCAGGTTCACACGGTCTGTTTGGAGTACAGCTCAAATTTGAACCTGGTTCCACCACCTCCACACACAGCACATGACCCCACTTCCCCTCCCGCACCCACTCTTCCGTGTGCCCCCGGTAGGCTCTGTCACGTTATTCAAGCTGTTGCTGAACTCTGTCTAAATTCAGCCCCTCCCAGCCTTCCTCCAACGGCGAGGTCAGCCTCCATCCTGGGATGCTTTGAAAGTTTGTAAGCCCACCCCGACTTGGTAGCCCCTCCTCACCTCCCCTGATCAGTGACCATTATGCCTGTTTTTCTGTGCACGCCAATCCCACAGAAGACAGAGGAGAGGATTCCTACCCTCACTCCACCCTTGTTCAGAGCAGGCCTTGGCTCCTCTCAGCATCCCCACAGCAGCCGCAGGGCCAGCTTCCTCCTCACAGCTGTGTCAGGATTGGGCTCTGGCTGGACCACAGGGAAATCTTTCCTTCTCACCCACAGATAATGAGCAGGGAGGTCTTCCTAAGTGGGGGGCTGCTTTTTCCTAGGTAGCAGGGGTGGCAGAGTCTTGAAGGGGATTTAGAGACATTGAGGCTGTGTGGAGGCCAGTGAAGGAGCATCTGATGAATGGGTGAACCCTGAGCCCCAGGGTTTCTCCTCTGTTGGCTGTGTCTGTTTCTCATGCCTTAGATCCTGTGCTTAGCTCTGGGAACAACCCAACAGCTGGATCCCTGGAGAGGCTGTGTGCAAGGAGCTGACAGACTGTGAGCACATTTTGATCAAAAAGTGCAGGGACCAGCTTGGTGCTGTAGTGGTTAAGTTCGCAGGCTCTGCATAGGTGGCCTGGGGTTCGTGGGTTTGGATCCCAGGTGTGGACCTATGCACGGCTCATCAAGCCGTGTTGTGGTGGCGTCCCACATACAAAATAGAGGAAGATTGGCACAGATGTTAGCTCAGGGCCAATTTTCCTCACCAAAAAGAAAAAAAAAAGAAAAGAAAAGAAAAAGAAAAAAGAAAGTGCAGTCACTTGTTCTTAAACTTGAAAACTACTCCCTGCCTCTGTCTCCCCATTGGACATGGAGTTGGTAAGGATGCTGTCTCCTTAGGTTGTCACAAGGATTGAGGAGTTCCTATTTGGATGGTGTTCAGAGCAGCACCCAGCATGACCTATATGTTTGATGATTAAATCAACAAAGAAGGGACAATACCCCAGTGTGCAGGACAAATGGATGAATGGCTGGATGCCCATGTGCATCTGGAGGTGGGGGATGAGAGACAG